CCCGGAAAACTGTCCAAGGGAAAATTATGAAATTTTCAGGAAAAAAAGAAGAGAGTTAGGAGGTCATTATACTGAAATTTCAATTTTTTTCAGTGAAAAATAACGACATGGTAAATCAATGAAAATTAACCAAATTAGGCATAAATGCATCATCTTACATTTAAATTTTTTTCCCGGAAAACTGTCCAAGGGAAAATTATGAAATTTTCAGGAAAGAAAGAGGAAAGTTAGGAGGTCCTTATACTGAAATTTCAATTTTTTTCAGTGAAAAATAACGACATGGTAAATCAATGAAAATTAACCAAATGAGGCATAAATGCATCATCTTACATTTAATTTTTTTTCCGGAAAACTGTCCAAGGGAAAATTATGAAATTTTCAGGAAAGAAAGAGGAAAGTTAGGAGGTCCTTATACTGAAATTTCAATTTTTTCAGTGAAAAATAACGACATGGTAAATCAATGAAAATTAACCAAATGAGGCATAAATGCATCATCTTACATTTAATTTTTTTCCCGGAAAACTGTCCAAGGGAAAATTATGAAATTTTCAGGAAAAAAAAGAAGAGAGTTAGGAGGTCATTATACTGAAATTTCAATTTTTTTCAGTGAAAAATAACGACATGGTAAATCAATGAAAATTAACCAAATTAGGCATAAATGCATCATCTTACATTTAATTTTTTGCCGGAAAACTGTTCAAGGGAAAATTATGAAATTTTCAGGAAATAAAGAGGAAAGTTAGGAGGTCATTATACTGAAATTTCAATTTTTTTTCAGTGAAAAATAACGACATGGTAAATCAATGAAAATTAACCAAATTAGGCATAAATGCATCATCTTACATTTAATTTTTTTTCCGGAAAACTGTCCAAGGGAAAATTATGAAATTTTCAGGAAAGAAAGAGGAAAGTTAGGAGGTCCTTATACTGAAATTTCAATTTTTTTCAGTGAAAAATAACGACATGGTAAATCAATGAAAATTAACCAAATTAGGCATAAATGCATCATCTTACATTTAATTTTTTTTCCGGAAAACTGTCCAAGGGAAAATTATGAAATTTTCAGGAAAGAAAGAGGAAAGTTAGGAGGTCCTTATACTGAAATTTCAATTTTTTTCAGTGAAAAATAACGACATGGTAAAATCAATGAAAATTAACCAAATTAGGCATAAATGCATCATCTTACATTTAATTTTTTTTCCGGAAAACTGTCCAAGGGAAAATTATGAAATTTTCAGGAAAGAAAGAGGAAAGTTAGGAGGTCCTTATACTGAAATTTCAATTTTTTTCAGTGAAAAAATAACGACATGGTAAATCAATGAAAATTAACCAAATTAGGCATAAATGCATCATCTTACATTTAATTTTTTTCACGGAAAACTGTCCAAGGGAAAATTATGAAATTTTCAGGAAAGAAAGAAGAGAGTTAGGAGGTCCTTATACTGAAATTTCAATTTTTTTCAGTGAAAAATAACGACATGGTAAATCAATGAAAATTAACCAAATTAGGCATAAATGCATCATCTTACATTTAATTTTTTTTCCGGAAAACTGTCCAAGGGAAAATTATGAAATTTTCAGGAAAGAAAGAGGAAAGTTAGGAGGTCCTTATACTGAAAATTTCAATTTTTTTCAGTGAAAAATAACGACATGGTAAATCAATGAAAATTAACCAAATTAGGCATAAATGCATCATCTTACATTTAATTTTTTGCCGGAAAACTGTTCAAGGGAAAATTATGAAATTTTCAGGAAAGAAAGAGGAAAGTTAGGAGGTCCTTATACTGAAATTTCAATTTTTTTCAGTGAAAAATAACGACATGGTAAATCAATGAAAATTAACCAAATTAGGCATAAATGCATCATCTTACATTTAATTTTTTTTCCGGAAAACTGTCCAAGGGAAAATTATGAAATTTTCAGGAAAGAAAGAGGAAAGTTAGGAGGTCCTTATACTGAAATTTCAATTTTTTTTCAGTGAAAAATAACGACATGGTAAATCAATGAAAATTAACCAAATTAGGCATAAATGCATCATCTTACATTTAATTTTTTTTCCGGAAAACTGTCCAAGGGAAAATTATGAAATTTTCAGGAAAGAAAGAGGAAAGTTAGGAGGTCCTTATACTGAAATTTCAATTTTTTTCAGTGAAAAATAACGACATGGTAAATCAATGAAAATTAACCAAATTAGGCATAAATGCATCATCTTACATTTAATTTTTTTCCCGGAAAACTGTCCAAGGGAAAATTATGAAATTTTCAGGAAATAAAGAGGAAAGTTAGGAGGTCATTATACTGAAATTTCAATTTTTTTCAGTGAAAAATAACGACATGGTAAATCAATGAAAATTAACCAAATTAGGCATAAATGCATCATCTTACATTTAATTTTTTTCCCGGAAAACTGTCCAAGGGAAAATTATGAAATTTTCAGGAAAGAAAGAGGAAAGTTAGGAGGTCATTATACTGAAATTTCAATTTTTTTCAGTGAAAAATAACGACATGGTAAATCAATGAAAATTAACCAAATTAGGCATAAATGCATCATCTTACATTTAATTTTTTTCCCGGAAAACTGTTCAAGGGAAAATTATGAAATTTTCAGGAAAGAAAGAGGAAAGTTAGGAGGTCCTTATACTGAAATTTCAATTTTTTTCAGTGAAAAATAACGACATGGTAAATCAATGAAAATTAACCAAATTAGGCATAAATGCATCATCTTACATTTAATTTTTTTCACGGAAAACTGTCCAAGGGAAAATTATGAAATTTTCAGGAAAGAAAGAAGAGAGTTAGGGAGGTCCTTATACTGAAATTTCAATTTTTTTCAGTGAAAAATAACGACATGGTAAATCAATGAAAATTAACCAAATGAGGCATAAATGCATCATCTTACATTTAATTTTTTTTCCGGAAAACTGTCCAAGGGAAAATTATGAAATTTTCAGGAAAGAAAGAGGAAAGTTAGGAGGTCCTTATACTGAAATTTCAATTTTTTTCA